GGCAAGACTGGGAGATGTAATAGCCCTACCTAATACATAGAAACAAACACAGAGAGGCAGCCAAAATGAGGAAACAAAGGAATATGTCCCAAATGAAAGACCAGGAGAAAACTCCAGAAAAAAAGAACTAAATGAAATGGAGTCAAACAACCTACCAGAAACAGTTCAAAACACTGGTTATAAGAATGCTCAAGGAACTCAGTAAGAACTTCAACAATGAGACAGCAAGCATAAAAAAGGACATAGAAATCATAAAAAAGAATCAGTCAGAAATGAAGAATACAGTAACTGAAATGAAGAATACACTTGAAGAACTCACCAGCAGACTAGATGAAGCAGAGGGTTGAATCAGTGATTTGGAAGACAAGATAGCAGAAAACACCCAATCAGAACAGTAAAAAGAAAAAAGAGGGCCGGCCAAGTGGCGCTGGTTAAGAGCTGGCTAGGGACGCCAGCTCTGAGCAGCAGGGTCCCGGTTCGGATCTCTCATATGAGGGCCAGTGACACTGTCCTCTACAGCTAAGATGCTGAACAACAGCTTGACCTGGAGCTGGGCTGCCATGAGTTGCCAGCGGCTGCGTAGGCTGCAGCCCCTGGGGCAGTGGGCTGCCATAAGCTACCGTGTGTAGCCGGCAGCCAGTGTGAGCTGTCAAGAGCCACTGACAGTGGCCATCCAGAGTCTGGCAACCAATCTACCTCACCCGGGAAGAGTGCAATGATAATAACAACATGGGCCAATGAAGCGACGTCCTCCACAACTAGGCTGAAGAACAAAAGGACAGCAACTTGTCTATTCCCCTTCCCCCAATTCCCCAGCATTGTTCCCCTCCCCCAATTCCCCAATAAAATCTTTAAAAAAAAAGAAAAAAGAATCCAAAAAACTGAGGAGAATTTAAGAGACCACTGGGAAAACATCAAGCATAACAACATTCGCATCATAGGGTTACCAGAAGGAGAAGAGAGAAAGCATGGGGTTGGGAACCTATTTGAAGAAATAATGACTGAAAACTTTCCTAACCCGGTGAAGAAAATACACATACAAGCCCAGGAAGTGCAGAGTCCCAGATAAGATGAGCCCAAACAGGCCCACGCCAAGACATAATTAAAATGGCAAAGGTTCAAGACAAAGAGAGGATCCTAAAAGCAGCAAAAGAAAGGCAACTAGTAACTTATAATGGAGCGCCCATAAGACTGTCAGCTGATTTCTCAACAGGAACTTTGCAGGTTACAGGCAGAAGGGATTGGCACAAAATATTTAATATGATGAAAAGCAAGGACCTACAATCAATCAAGACTACTCTACCCAGCAAAGCTATCATTTAAAATTAACAGGACAGATAAAGTGCTTCTCAGACAAGAAAAAGCTGAAGGGGTTCATAACCACCAAACCAGTATTACAAGGAATATTAGAGGGACTTCTTTAAGATAAAAAAAAAAAGATAAAAAATATGAATAATAAAATGGCAATAACTACATATCTATCAATAATTACTTTCAATGTAAATGAATTAAATGCTCCAATCAAAAGACATAGGGTGGCTGAATGGATAAGAAACTAAAACCCTTACATATGCTGCCCATTTAAGACACAATTCATGTTGAAAGACACACATAGACTGAAAGTATAGGGACGGAAAAAGTTATTTCATAAAAATGGAAATGGAAAAACAAAAGCATGAGTAGTAATATTTATACAAGACAAAATAGACTGTAAAACAAAGGCTATAACAAGAGACACAGAAGGACCCAGTAATTCCAGTTCTGGGTATTTCTCCCAATAAACCAAAAATGTTACTTCTAAGGGATGTGTGCAGACTTATGTTCACTGCAGAATTATTTACAATGGCCAAGATGTGGAGGCAGCCTGGGTGTCCATCAGTGACTAAATCGATAAAGAGGAGGTAGTACCTACATACAATGGAATATTGCTCGGCCAGGGAAGGGAATGGGTTCTTGCCACCTATAGAAGCATGGATGGACTTGGAGGGTATTGTGCTGAGTGGAGTGTCAAATAAAGACAGATGCAATGTGATTTCACTTATATGTGGAATCTAAAAAACAAAATAAACAAACAAACAAAACAGAAACACACTTATAGATACAAAGAACACTTTGATGGTTGCTAGGTGGGAGGAGGGTTGGAGGTGCATGAAAAAGAGGAAGGGATTAAGAAGTAAAATTGGTTGTTACAAAGTAGATATGGGTATGTGGCATATAGCACAAGGAATATAGTCAATAATACTGTAATAACTACATATGGTGCCAGGAGGGTACTAGATGTATCAGGGTGACAGATGGGACTGGAGTTGGGGAACAGGGTGAAAAAGGTCAAGGGATTAAGAAATACAAATTGGTAGTTACAAAATCATCATGGGGATGTAAAGTAAACCAGAGGGAATATGGGTAATAATATGATAATAGCTATGTGTAGTGCCAGGTGGGTAGTAGACTATTCAGGGTGGATCACTTTTTAAATTATATAAATGTCTAATCACTTATGCTGTACATCTGAAATTAATACAAAATAATTTTGAATGTTAACTGTAATTGAAAATTTTTTAAAGTGAGGAAACGGTGAAGGAGGATAAGTGGTTCAAATCTCCAGGTATAATAAAACTAGTAAGTCATGGGGATGTAATGTACAGCATGGGGAACATACTCAATAATATTGTGATAGCGTAGTAGGTGTCAGATGGTTGCTGAACTTATCATGTGATCACTTCTTTAGACATATAAATATTAAGTAACTGTTGTATATACCTGAAACTAATAAAATATTGTATGTTAGTTATATTTTAATAAAAATCTTTAAAAGGAGTTCTCCATAGAAGAGTCCCAAGTGTTAGATGCCTAGTCTTCTAATAAAGAAATTCAAAGCTGGATGAAATAGCTCTCCTGAAATTCTCTTTATAAGAAAATTGATGATTTGAATGTGATCTCCATTCCAAAAATGGCCTAACACTTTTGATAAATAAAATATTTTCCAACAAAGAATAAGATGTTCCAAAATTGTTAAAGTTTGATTGTATCCATTTCTACGCCCAATACCAGTATGGAAAGAATTCAATGCTATGAACCAGCACCACTGACAAAAGATTATTGAAATAAATAAGAAATGAATTATGTGGTTTTTAAATATATAACTTGCGCATGTTTGGAAGGTGTGTGGAAGCAAAGTTGTGATTTCTTGAATAAAAAAATTATGTCCAAACCCTCTAAGGTAAAATATATTACCAGGTATTTTTACGAATTCCCAGCATTTTGTTGAATCCATCTAGTAACACTGAGTAACTGGTACCACTACAATGCTGAATGTGTACTTACTGGAACAGGGGGATAACAGAGGAGGGAGAGGTCCTGGGGAAAATAGGATAAGTGACAAAATGAAAGAATGATACTGCAGGAGAGAACAATAGACAGGATAGCAAAATGAGAAAGGGAAAGTGGCAGGAAGACTGAAGAAGGGAAGAGGGTCATCTTAGTAAATGCTGCTACTTTCCTGGAAAAAAAAAAAAGGCTAAAAAAATAAGAAAAACCAGAATTTGCTAAAACAGAAACAAAACAGACACTAAAACACTGAACAAAGAGCTATAGAAAAGGGAACAGGAAACCTACTGCCTGGCTGGTCCCCTATCTCTGCCACAGGCACGTTCAGCACCTCCCTGTCCGGGACAGGCCTCTTTGCAAGTGGATTCTGCACTTCCTTCCAGAACAAACTGTAGCCCAAAGAATTTCAAATGCTCAGATACAATCAGTTAGTGTGTGTATTATAAGAGTCCAGCCTCCCCCAGGCTGTCTCTAGACCTTCAGGAATTTCTCCCTGGCCATCAGAGGAAGCCAACGTCTCACAGTTTACTGACTTGCTGAGATAATAGGGGAGAATCTCAAAGAAATATAAAATGATGATGACAGGCACAGAACAGCGGATCCTTTAGGAATAGCTCTGCTGTCCTGGTGTTCTATAAAGCAGTCTCCTTAAACTTGGAAGTGCAGGGAGTCACCTTGGGGGATCTGGATCAAAATACTGGTGCTGGTTCAGAAGGGCTGGGACGAACCCAAAATTCTGCGCTCTGATAAGCTCCAAGTGAGGCCAATGTCCCTGGTCCCCAGACGGCACTGGGAGAAGCGAGTTATATGGCACATATTCTTTAGCTATTTATTACTGTCCTTTGTTCAATTCCCCAAAATTCAGAGTCATGGCAATTTCCCTTTAGGGCTTTCAGGCAGACGGAATTCTCTGCCCACGAATCTGGACACAAAGCAGTACCAGCTGTGAGGAAGCCCACGGAAGGAGGTGGCATTCGAAGACTCTGGGAGTCCTAACACGCCCCTGTAGTTGGCACCAGGCTGGTCCCCTCCAACGTTTCCTGCCTTCTTCTCACCTAATCCTTCTGCCACAGAGGAAATGGTAATTGTCTCTGATTCATGCCAACCTGAACGTCAAGGTATGTTGTAAAGGTTGGATAATTGAAGTAGAAATATTGAGAAAGTGCTAAAAACCAGACTTCAGGATCAAAGCTAGTGGCTTGACTGATTTCTTTACCCACTGTAAAGATGTTCTGAAATAGTAGCTTCCTCAGTGTGAGTGTGTGTGTGAGTATGAGTGTGTGTGTGTGTGTGTGTGTGTGTGTGTGTGTGTAAGAGAGAGAGAGAGAGAGAGAGAGAGAGAGAGAGGGAGAGAAAAGGTAGGGGTAAATGAGTGCATGCACGACCCCCCTCTACAAACCAGAGGCTAATAGCACTAAGAAGAAACTGTGCTCTGTCCTCAAGAAAGGAATTTGAATTCATAGCCCAATCCAGGTTGGAGTGGTGTCATTTCTATTTCCTTTGACAGAAACTGCAGGTTGCGTGATGAAGTGTGGGTGTCCTCAGAGGTAGCTACCTAAGTTTGCATACTTCCTGACTGACAGAACACTCCTGCAAATGCCTTGGGGCGAGGGTGGTTGGTGTCAGTGGGAGGAGTAACCAAGTTTCACTTCCTTGCTAGTTGGAGACTCACAGCCACAGCTGGCTTTTCTCTCAGAGGAGGCAAGTGTGAGGAACGGCAGAGCCCATCTCTCTGCCTTTTCCCCATAGCACCTGGCAGGGGCTTTGCAGACGTGAGGAGTGCGAATGGGCAGAGCAGAGTCTCTTGAACGGAAGATGAGTGCCCAGGATCCTTCAGATCTGTGGAGCAGATCCGATGGAGAGGCTGAGCTGCTCCAGGACTTGGGGTAAGAGAGCTGACCCCTTTTCAAAGTGCTTCTTGGGTAAACATTAACTGCCTGCTCCCTTTGATTAATGATTACCTTTAGCGCTCTGTGCCCCAATCTTCTGTCCCTTCCACTTTTCTCATTTCTGTCTGCTTGGGGGCAATTGCAGTGTTAAAGCACATATTGTTTTTCCAGATGTGAAAACATGTAGACTCAGAAAATGGGACAAAAATTGAATGTTGGACATTCTTTGAGACTAGGGACAGAATTGGGATGTGTGAGTTGATGTTGCTTGGTTTCCTTGATATTAATCTGGTTTATGAATAAACGTGCTGTTAAAAATTTTGAGCTCTCCGCTCAAAATTGACAGTAAGAGGACTGTATTGTTGGTAAGATAAACAGAAAGCCTACCCTACTGTACAGGAGAGAGACTTTTTCAAAAGAGAAAGAATGAGGAACTTTCCTCAGCAATGTCCCATTTCCTTTCTTTCTGACATCGCATTTGTGAGCTCTTGTGTGTATGTATGCATGTCAACGTTGAGACTTTTAAATACTAAGTCAGAAAGAGGACACAATTTCTGCCTCAAACAGGTTATAAGTTTGGGTAGGTGGAGTCATCATAGTCCCATCTTTAAGGGATGAGATGAGACAACTCATCAGGATATCTATCTAATCAAAGAGACAAATATTACACAAGAGAGGAGCAGGGAATTCCCTATGGACACTAAACCTTTTCCCTAAAGCACTGGGAGTATCCTGACTAGGCGAGCCTTTTGTCTTAATAAACTGTTCTACTCTTCACAACAATGCAATGACACAGGAACTGTTATCATTTCCATTTTACAGAGGAAGAAAACTAGCACCAAAGAGGTTGAATGCCTTACCTACATCACATGCCAATTAAATGACAAAGCTGGGATTCCAACCAGCCAAAGCCTGTGTTTTATCTTACCCAGAGAAACACTGAAATGGTGAAACCTCTCTGCACTAAGACTGCAGAGATTTTGTCTTTTGTGTTGCATTACTGTAGAAGTTCTCAATAAGTCCTATCTTTAGATTTTAAATTTGGGGTCTCAGAATCAAACAGGACCTTCAAAAGATAAATCAGATTTTCCAGCTAGAGTTTTCTGTAAAGTAACCCCCCTTTTGGAAATTCACTATTCTTCTAGATTGAACTCCCGAAGAGGTTAAATGCCCCTGAGCACCCAAAACGGGTGTCACAATGTCCAGGCACTGAAGCTGAACCCTTGGGCTCTTACTTAAAACTTTGTTATATTATTGAACTATAATTCTTCACATGCTTCGTAATCTAGATTCTTAGCCCATGATCAGCAGGAAGACCCAAAAACGAAAAGAGACAAAGGAGACATTCAGCTCCAGTCCTTTAATTCCACAATCCTTGAGTCTATACTCTGTGGTTGAGTACATTGGCACTCACTTGGGTGACAAGATGAGCGAGATGACATCTCTTCTCCCCACCATGTTGCCCATGGCAGGAAGCGACCACAGGTGAAACCCACAAGGAAACAAATCTGTGTCTTCCCTTCCGTGTTCAAAGAATGGATGTTCAATACAACCCAGAAATACCCCAGAAAGATATATTTATGTCCATACTTCTCTATTTCAGAAAGCCTGGACATTTATTAAACATTTGAGGATGGTTTCTGTAATAAGAGGAAGCTACAATTATCTGGTGAAATTACTTGACAGTTGTGCTTCTCAGCCTTGGCTGTGCACTAGAATCACCCAAGGAGTTTTTAAAGATTTCTACTAGGGCAAAGGTCAGACAAAGGACATCAGTGTGTTGGGGGTGAGCATTTTCTTTTTAAACTTTCCAAGTGATTCCAGAGTGAGACCAAGGTTAAGAATCATCGCATAGATAAATCCATCAGCAGCGCTGAATAAAAGTGGCTTTATTGCTCATTTATTGGGTATGTACCTGAATCTGAATGCCATTAATAAAGCTTGACATTTTATTTGTTGGTTTGGGAGCACTTCGTTGAATAATTTTATTGAGGTGTATTTTAGAGATCATAAAACTTCTTTGTTTCGAGTATATAATTCAATAATTTTTAGTAACTTTAAAGCGTGGTACAACAATCACCTTAAATCAATTCTAGAACATTTTAATTCCCTTAATAAGAATACTCAGGAGCATGTTTATTTAAATATACTCAATGGTGTGCTGGTAAACCACCTGGGCGAGGGTTAGCCCAGATTTCTGGAGTCTGCCTATTTCCCTGATATAAATCCTCCTACTACAGACACTGTCAAGTTGCCAAGAGCCTAACAACCAGCTTGCAAAATTCCTGAAAATTGAATAAGACTTGAGCCAGTACTTGCCCTTCCAGGACATAACTGATATGCCTTTTATAGGTAATAATATCTAAGAAAACTTGAAAAGAACCTGTTGCCTCTGGCCGAATTCCAAATAGAAATGAAACTTTTTTCCAACCTTTAAGTCGCTGGTTAGGTACCAAAACTTCTGGTTAATTTAGTTTTTAGAAAGCTCCGTAAAAGACAAAGTGATTTAATGTACTTGATAGATAAAAAACAGCTGGTTTTAATGACATACTTTTAAAATTATTTTAATAGGTTATTTGATTAGGCCGATTCTTATGTTTGTATTTTTGATAGCTGTAAACAGATAATGTGGTGGTTAAATTGGAGAGATAGCATACATCTTTGTTGTTTGGTCCCTATTTTTCTTCAGTCTCTAGAGTATGTAAGTCCTCTGTAAATTCAGCCCTGAACTTCAGTAAATCCATGGTTTGCCTGCCCAGGACACACAGGACTTGCTCAGAGCATGGGAGTATTCCTTTCTAAAGTGCTTACATCAAGTAACTCAGATGGATTTCTGTGTCTCATTTATAGAATGTCAATCTAAAAACATTTCTTTTCTTTCATTGTAAATATATTAATGTGTCCAGCAGCAAGGGGACACGACATAAAGCTATTTGCAATTGTCACCCAGCTTCACTGATACCTTGGTGGTATGGGGTTGGGGGTGGAGAATGGCCCATGAGAAGCCAGAGGGAGCTGGGGACAGTCAGGCTGTTTGCTGCCTTCAAAATGAAGGGATGGGGAAATGAAAAAAGTAATGAATATTAGAGGCATCACCTAAGTAACAAACTAGTGTAGAATTACTAGTCAGTTAATAATTTAAAATTCCAGAAAGTCTTTGACTATAACAAGTTTCCTATGAGATAATGTAGGAACTGTATAGTTATATACTTTATAAAGGGGTTAGTCTTTATAAAGCATATAACTATAGACACAGAAGGGATACTGTGAAATATAAATATTTTAAGATATTTTTAAATTATATATTCAGATTATCTAGTCAGACATATTCCTTCAGGTGAGAAATACAATAACTATTCTTTTTTTAATATACTTTCCCAAATCTCAAATTTTATAAGAAAGTGTTATTGTTTGGCTTCATTGGCCAGTGTCAAGAATCTAGACTCTTAAGTTCTGGATATTTAAGTAAATAATTCAAAACATCTCTCATTTCTCTGCCCCCTAACCTTTATATATAAGAGAAAGTTAGAATAGATCAAAGATCAGCTAATTTGTTTTGTAAAAATAAATATTATAGGCTTTGCGGGTCTTACGCTCTCTGCCCAAACTTACTCACATCTGCCATTGTGTGAGAAGAGCCAGAAATAGCACTGAAACAATGACCGTGATGGTGTTCAAATAAAATGCTATTTCTGGAATTTGAATTTTATATCATTTTCATGGGTCACAAAATATTCTTTTTTTCCCTGCCAACCATTTAAAAACACAGACCAATTCTTGGCTTTCAGTCCATACAAAAACACATGCCCTGGCAGGAACTGGCCCTCGGGTGACGATTTGCTGACCCAAGAAATAAATGATAATAACCAAAATAAGTTAGTATAATGAGGCAGACATTTTCACATACACTAGCTCTGGTATTCAAAAGGTACTGGTATTCCAGCTTTAAATACAAGCAGGCTCCTTAGCAGAGCAACCAGGCTGCCTGACGTCCCAGCGAATCTGGGTCTCCAGCCTGTGTTTATTCTACCAAACCAGAGTGCTTTCCTGTGCAATAGTCATTCTGCACTGATCTCTACTCTGTGCCAGCGCCACGCCATTCACATCATTATATAATTTAGACTTTACAATAACATTGCCAATATGTATAATTATATTCATTTTGTAGATGTAGAGGGTGACTTCAAATATGTTAAATGAGGGCCGGCCGAGTGGTGCGTTGGTTGAGAGCTGGCTTGGGACACCAGAGGGCCCCGGTTCGGATCCCACATATGAGGGCCAGTGACACTGCCCTCTACAGCTAAGATGCTGAACAACAGCTCAACCTGGAGCTGGGCTGCCTTTAGTCGCCAGCGACGACGTAGGCTGCAGCCCCTGCTGTAGTGGGTTGCCATGGGCTACCATGTGTAGCCAGCAGCCAGCGTGAGCGGCCGTCCAGAAGCCGGCGACTGATCTGCCTCGCCCGGGAAGAGCACAATGATGGTGCTAACTTGGGCCAGTGAAGCAACGTCCTCCACAACTAGACTGAAGAACAAAACGACAGCAACTTGTCTGTTCCCCTTCCTTGAATTCCCCAGTGCTGTTCCCATCCCCCAATTCCCCAATAAAAAATCTTAAAAATAAATAAATAGATAGATAGATAAATAAATATGTTAAATGAACTGTCCAGGTCACTGACATAAGTGGTGCAGCTGAGGGGCATGCCTAGGAGATTGCCCCAAAGCTGACGCTCTTGCCACTGATCCAACAAGGTATATACATATATATACCTATGTTCTCATCATGGCAATGTGCCAGGCACTATTTTAAGTCCTTTGCATGTGTGACTTATTAAATTCACGCATCATTGGGAGGTAGATGCTACCATTAATGTCATTCCCATTTACAAATGAAAGAACTTGAAGGAAAGAGCTTTCATCACATGCCCAAGTTGACGTGCTCAAAAACGTTCAAATCCAGTTTTCCTCTAGAGCCCACATGCCTGTCTGATAACATAATTTCCCAATTTCCATCAAACTTCTCTCTTCTTATATTAGCACTATATATTAGTTCGAGCGTAAACTGAGGGAAAGAAAGTTCTGTGATGATTGTGACCAACACATATATTACTAAAAGACATTATTCTTTCACAATTCTTCACATATTACAAACGCACATGAACGTAAAACCAGGTCAATACCCTAATTAACAAGAACTTCATTGAGTTGAGTGTAAATTTCACTTTTTGGAGCTAGACAAATTGACTAGGCAAAGACAAGCGTAGGAAAGTCAAAGCTTTAAAGGAGCCTGTTTACAGGCCTGTGGTAGCAAGTAGAGCAGTAACACTTGTTTCTCTTCTGTGCACAATTCTGTAATCTTGGAGTCTAAAAACGGAAGGTGAGTCTCTTGTGGCCATAGGAGAATATGTAACTAGTGTACAGTTTGATCTCTGTTTGACTCAAGCGAATTTCCTCTTCAGTTGTTGTGTTTTCTGTTCCTCTCTGGGTGGTGATGACTTCCTTCTACTTATATGTGGAAATCTGTCCACACAAGCTCACCACACTCCATGGGGTCACTTTGTTCAATCATTCACTCTTCCATTCATTCATAGATCCATCTGTTGTTTATGACATTATGCAGTGTGGGGGATCCTAAAATTAAGAGAAATGGCTGTCCCCTCAAGGAGTTTATAGTACAGAGGACAGAGAATGCACATTCATGTAGTTAGAGAGTGCAGGGTAGGGGTGCTGAGGGCTATAACAATGTCTAGATAAAGCACACAGCATATTGCAGGCAAGGAGACCACTGGACGCGGAGATGATGGCCTGGAAGCCCATAGGATTTTTATCAGTTGAAGTCAGAAAAGAAGACATTTTCTAAAGAGAAAATGGCAGGAGTCAACTGGTGAAAGTGGCAGGACCCATGAGCGATCAGAAAACAAAAAAAAGCTCACATGGACTCAGAGTCTCCCAGTCTCTGGGGCCCAGTGGTTAATCAGTGCCTAGTCAGTCTCGTTCTGTCTTGACCTCTGAGAGTCCCTGCCTTCAGCCACATTCCATGGGAAAGCTTTCACCCAGCATTCTTCTTCTAGTTTCTAGTGTCATTACCATACCCTTCACTTCTTTTTAAAAGCCTGGGCTAATTGCTTGCTCCCACTGACTCCCCTAGACAATACCGTAAGTTCCTACTCTGAGTGCACACACTTGTGGCTTCTCCCTCACCTGGACCTGTCTGAAACCAGCCACAGTCCTCACTGAGTCTGAGTCTGTTGCTTGCTCTCCTCCAAATTCTGTGGTCATGTTCCCCCTGACTCCCTGCCCACTGGTGCCTGGCCCATTATCTGTTGTTAGACCTTCTTTGTTTACACATATTTGAATTTTAAAAAGCGTAAGAGCAATAATTTCACTTGTCTTGATAAAAGTATAGTTAGGTAAGAGACTGTTACTATTTTAGAAACACATGCTGAATTACCTAGGGTTAAAGTACCATGATATCTATAATTTACTTTAAAAATGTTCATCCAACACAATATAAAGAAAACATGACTAAAGGTTAAAAATTATTCTCCCTAAAATGTAAATATTATTTAAATGTAGCATTATTTATACTATTTTTTTTCACTTTCCCATATATCTGAAATTACTCATAAAAAAACAGTTAAAATTAATAGTAGTATGTATTAATTATTGATAGTTTGGAAAATAAAGAAAAGCACAAAAAAAGTCAGCCATGTACCACCAACCAAAATGACATTGTTCAACTTTTCTCCAGTCTTTTAGAAATCCTTTTCTGTAAACACACTTACACACACAGACACTGAATTATGGCCATACCGTATATATAATTTTGCTCTTGCTTTCCAGTAAGATATTTTCTGATCGTCTGCTTCTTTGTTTGTCTCAAAGCAGGTTCTGGATCTGGTCTTTCCTGGGCCAGTCTGTTTTCCTATATTGAAGTTTGGATATTTCAGTTGGTCCAAATTCCTGAAGGCCTTAAATAGATTAGAAGTTTGGGCTTTGTTCAAACTCCATTTGACAACATGGAATCACTGGATGTTTATAAGAATGTGGAATTACTTGGTCATCATGTTTTATTTTTAGGTAGATTAATCTGGTAGTTGAGCATGATAGGTGGCAATGGCTCCAGAGCCAAGAAAACCAATTGGTGAGGGAGTTTACAGATCGTTGAATAAGAAACTGGACTGATGACCTGGGAATAGCAAGGAAGGAACAGGGTGGGAGCCAGTAATTCCACTGAGCTAAGCACAGTAAGTGATTCGCATGCAAATAAGAATGTTATTGTATGGTTATTGAATGCTTTTGTATGCTTTTCCAAAATGGCACCAAAGATATTTTGAAAACTCTAATATCATAAATGTCTTCTAATTTGTTCTTTGTTTGCTTTATCACTATATCTTGCTCAAGTTTCCTGCGTCTCATGTGACTGCTCCTATGGTTCTGACTCACCACCAGTAGAGTCTATGATTTGGGTTTATTCTCCAGATAATCTTAGAACCATTTTACAGCTGTCAATACTGAAGCACTAAGACGCTTGGCCATCTGCTCTAAGCCAAATACAGTGAACCCCCTTTCACAGTAAGCTCCTTAGGAGAAGGGCTATAGGTTATTCATCGTTGTCCGCTCCTTCCAAGCCCACCACTTGACAAAGAGCAGATGTCTAAGTGTTTGAATTGTCCCAAGTTAGGTCAAAACCAAGACAAGAACTTAAGGTTCCTGGCTTCAGCCCTGCACCACACCAACAGTGACGATGTGTTTGCATTTATTACCCTCAAACTCACTCAGTCCCCCTTATATTCAAACGTTTTTATTGGTGGGGGAAAAATGATGTTATTTAGAGACATCATCTAAATAATAGAATAGAGGAGAGAACTAATAAAACAAGGATCTTTCTGGGCTTTTTAAAATATCCTTCAAAGTCTGGGGCTCTTTCCTGTAGCCGCAGCTCTTCCTGAAAGTGGCCCACTCTGACTCCTGAATTAGCCCACAATGGTAAGTTATCAATAGCAGTCATCAATGGCAACTGCAGTCTGAAGACAATTACCCTTTCACAAGGTTTAGGCTGCATGAGTGCCCAGAGTGTAAGTGCAGTGTCAAGTTTGATTCCACTCAGATGAGGCCTCCTGAGAGAATCTCTGGTTTTGGCTCTCTCTGCAACCATTCTAGTCCTCCTCAAGTTCTTATCCACAAAATGTCTTTTCTAGTCAGTCTTTGAGCTTTGGGTCCCAGTCCAAATCAGACATTCCCTGGCGCCAACCACTGGGGCAGTAGTGATGCTCTTTGGGCCTTGCAACCTTCCCTGCTCTGTGCAGGCTGACCTGGGGACTAGACAGAAGGACCTCTGCTAGAATGAGATGCAATTGGCCCCTCCTGCCTCCAGTCAAGGGCTCTGCCCCTCCAGTCTCTTCACGTCTCTGACAATCCCGGAGGTGTTGATCCACCTCTGAATCAGGCTCTTTGCGTTTCTCTTTATGCATCTATGCCGTTCTCTCTCTTTGTCTTCTTCCTGTCTCCTGGACCACTCTGTTTGGGTCTGTATCTGTGTTCCTAAGTTCCTGTCCTGTATGCTTCTGGCTATCTGTGTGAGAAGGTATGCCTTACTCTGTCTCCAAGTTTTGGTCTCTATCTTCCCCTGTCTACAGCTCTTAACTTTTGTGTCTTTGACTCTGTGCCACTTTGTGTTTCTGAATCTCTGAATCTCTGTCTCTCTCTATCTCTGTGTTTCCATCTTTCAGATCTTGTTGCTCATTCCTCAGACTCCTTCAAGAACAGGTTTATCCTGGTATCTAACTCCCACAAAAATTCTCTTCTTTCTTTCAGCCCATTTCCCTTTAGCTGAGCCTTGACTTCCACCAAAAAACAAACAAACTTGGGGCCTACCTTTAGTTCATTGTTTGACCAGATACTTACTATCCTGCCGCTGTCATCAGTCAGGTATGCTTCCTCAAGCCTGGGGCAGCTGGCCTCACCATTTAGCTCTGCCATTAGCACCTGCAAATGTGGGAATTTAGAATGGCAATATGGAAAGCCACAGACAGGCTGCTTCCATCACAGAAGCCTCTTCATTGGAAAGACTGTTGAGTCTATCTTTCAGCCTCCCCTATGCATCACACTATGCCTGTCTGAGGCCTCAGCAGGACTTTTAAAATCCCATGCAAAGCCTTTGCTTGGTTCTCTCTACTTGGGCAGGATCTGCTGCTATGACCAATGGAAAGATAAGCCCACACTTGTGAATATGGGACTTAATGATCATGTATGAACAACACCAGCTTTTCTTAGATATATCACAGCCTAACTCTAATGCGAACTGCAGCACTGACAGACAGCTCTGGAACCAAATATGACACCCATGATTTTTGATGGCACAGAGGGCCAAAAGATTTACTTTTCACAAAATCAAAGAATCTAGCACCAGCTTCATAAACAAATGAACATGAAGGAAATCAGCAGCTAAGAAATCCCATGGGATGGCTCAAGTGCTAAGGACAGATTAACCCCAGTTAACATTGCTCAGAGTGGGATTGCCTGACAGATTCATCTTATGTTTAATCACCATTGTGTTCAGAAGGATTCTGAGGCTCAGTATAGACTTAGCATGAAAGAAGACAGATCAATGAGCTTTATCCATGGCCTCAGAAAAGGAGAGTGGCATCATACACGTATGCTATACGTTTGTCATCTTTGGTCTGCAGAGTTCAGAAAGTGTGTCAGTGTCATTCAAAATGGAGGATAATTTTTAAAATGAAGAAAAACAGAAAATTATCCTGAAAAAAAATGCTTTTGTTGGCTGTTCAACTCACCAATAAGTGCATAACCTAAATGGATACATGGCTCATGTTTCAACACACAAGATGACTTTCTGTGCCCAGTGTTCTTCGAGCATCATTTTGCATTATTCCTCGTCATAGACCCTCTGTTCCAGCCAGGCATTTCGTTTCCTGAATATGCCATGCATATGTCAGCCTCAGTGCCTTTGCTTATGCCATGGCTCCTGATGGCATGCCTTTTTCTCTCACTACCTAATGAATCCTATATTTATTCTTTAAGCTCCAACAGGTGATCTTCTTCCCTCATGAAGCTTACCCTGATCACCCCGCCCCCCTGTGAGGTCACCTCCTGTACCACTTACTGTCCATATCACTAAGATGGCAGCTGTTGGGGGATTTTCTGACACTCTGAGACTGCAAATCCTTATCTTTTCCTCCCCATTGCTACTGCAGAGTCATTTAGCACTTTGCTTTGCCCTCTTTGTCTTCCTCTTCAGGTGCCACACACTGTGAATTCAAACCAGCAGGGTTATTGAAATGAAGTACAGTTTCGAGGACCAAGAGCCCTTCACCAGCCTGCTTCTCAAACTCTAAATTGCATATCAATCCCACGAGGCTGTTGACAATACAGATTATAACTCAGCAGGTGTAGGGGGCCTGAGCATGGGAATTGCTCACAAGATCCCAGGACAATGAGCCCTAGACTTTGCATTGTTTTTAAATACCAGCTGCAACCCATTAGTGTTCTTAAAGTCAATTTAGTCAGTCACATCAATATTTGTTAAGAAGAAATAGAAAATAGTAAGTAACATATAGAGCAGTGTTGTTTCCTATAACATTTTTTGGCTTTTTGTACAAGTTTGTAATGTAAGGGTGTGTGTGCGTGTGTGTGCGCGCGCGTGCGTGCGTGCGTGCATGCGTGCATGCGTGCGTGTGTGTGTGTATTTATATACATGGAGAGAGAGAAAGGCAGAGAGAGAGAAAATGTATTTTACACCGTGGACCAATTCAAAAAGTTTAAATGCCTCTCCTTCAAAGGACAGTGCAAAAGGAGATATAAACATATCAGCAAATTAAGACAGTAAAACTCAGTGGAATAAGAATCTATGAAGGTTCAAATATGTTGGGGCAATTTCCCAGAAGGTTCTAGCATGAAGGGACTCCGGAAAGAAAAGGAGAAGAGGCTGAAGTTGCGGACCAGCTTTCTGGATCTATCTTTGCTTTCTCTGTGGTTGAGCTTGTTTCCTGTGCCTTACTGAGAGGCAGCTATGAAAATTCTTTAGTGGGTGGGTGTTTCCTAATTTGTTACGGTATCATGGAAGGGATAACACCACTGTTTCCTTCAAGGTCAACTGCTGGTTTTGATAATCTCAAAACCCCAGTGCAAATATTCTTTTGAAGCTTGAGGAGTCTGCTCTGTTGCCTCTGTTAGCCTTGAGACATAATAATGGCAATGTGTGGACCATGGGGGGAAAGGAGAATATAACATTGTTTTGACTGTGTTGTTATAAATAGTCGTTTCTTGCTTGTTTTTCTTTCTTCAGGGAACATGAAACCAAAAGAAATTTTTTTAAAAAAGTTTTAGGAAAATGAACCTTATTCCAAACTATGCCCAGTACCTCGCACAATGTCTGGCGTATTCATAACATTTATAATTAGCAGATCTTGTGTCTTGTTCTCTTCTGCAAAAGTTAAAGGATCATATAAAAAGTTTATAAAAGAAGACTGTTCCAACATATGAAAACAAGAGGTTTTCCTTCTTAGGCATTTTTATTAGTCACCATGACAGATGAGAAAACTGAGGTTGCTACGTGAATGGGGTCACATTGCTAATAAGTAGAAGTCCTTGGTGTGTATGGCTGAGGAAATGACAGGAGACGAAGGTTTGGTCCCTCCTCCCCAAAATTCTCACCAACATTGCATGGAGGGTTGGGATCCAAGTTAGCTGCTTATTAGCATTCCTCTTCACATAGCATTTCCCAGCTAAAAAAGGTTTCTTTTTCTACTTAATTCTAAAACCATCACCCTTCTAATGCAGCTCGGGAAGACTCGATGGAGCAGCAGAGAAAAATGAGTTACTTGGGAGATTTCATC